AAGAGGACTTACCCTTGAAGACCAATGAACCAGCAGCTCTTGGACCAATTTTCTGAGCCTTTAACCTCTTCAAAACAGTCCCAAAGTGCTGGAATGAGGGATGGAGGCCTTGTGCTATGAGGTGTAGGGTAAATGGTGTAGAACTTAAGGGGTTTTCGTGCTTGGAGTAGAGAGAGAGAGAGATTGAATGCAAGAGCTCCAAACAAGTTTTTGTAACCTTTTAAAATGCAGCTGGAAGTGCTGGTTTTATAGGGAAAGGAGTGGAGGAAAAATGGGGGAAAATCAAATTCAAATTTCCGCCCAAAAGACCCCCCCTCGGATACAGGATCTGGGGGGAAACAGAGGGTGCAGCTGTAAGTAACCAGGTGAGAGGGTCTTGGCCGGCCAGGTTCAGAAGGTTCAGGGGGCCAGCCGGCCACCTCCCATGGCTAGCCGACCAAGGGTCAAAAGGGTCAAGCACAATTGCTGGTCGGCCACCCCAAAAAGGTGGCCTCTCATGTGTGCACAACACAACTATGTAGTCAAAACCCAGAAAAAGTGAACCAGGAGAGAGAAAATACCATTTTTTAGAGGGGTTCAAAAGGGTCAAGCACAATTACTGGTCAGCCATCAAATATTGGTGGCCTCCCAGGTGTGTACAACACAAATATAGGGTTTAGGGTTCAAGAAAGTGGCCCCGGGGTGGTCAACATTGGCTTTTAAGTGAGGAAAACGGGCGTCGGAGAGCGATGAAGAAATAAAGCTCGATTTTCAGAACAATTGCTGGCCTCCCACCCTCCTACAAGCTTCCTAACTATGAAAATAAGGCCTCCACCAAAAAAGAACCAAAACGGATGCAAAACGGAGGTTCGGGGGACTGAAACGCGCGGCCTGGGGCCCCGAAAATGGGCTGTTAAGCACCGGAGGTGGCGTTCGACCACGAAGTTGGTCTCTCGGGCCACAGTGTTCCTCAAAAGGGAGGAAATAAGGTGTATACCAAAAACCGGAGCAAACGGAGGTGGTTAGGTGGTCCCGAACCGGGGCACACGGTCGACGGCTCCGAAAAACTGGAAACCGGGCTCCAAATGGGAAAAATGGCCTACGACCGCGAAACGTAGCCTACGGCTACTGAGAGATGGTCTACGAGACCTCTCCCTCCCTTTGGGTAGAGAAAACAGAGAAAACAAAGCCTGGTTCGCAAACCGAGGCAAGGCATGAAAGAGTCCGGAAGTCCGGAGGCAAGGCTTGCAGCCGAGACTCTGAAACTTCTGAACGAGCACAATATGCAATATCACCGAGCGTTCAATCAGTGACGTCTGAGTCTTAAGGTCGATCAAAAATGGGGTGTCTACACCTATCTATTGAGGCTTTTGACAAGATGGAGACATCCCCACAAGTTTAAATGACACTGACCTCTCTCTACCACTTAATTACAAATCACAAATCACCCCTCCATCATTGGTTTGAACCATCATACATCATCACCCAAGTCTCTAACCATCTCCAAAAAAAACATTTTATGATTCTCACTCTACTCTCTGTCCTTACTCTAAACTCTCACCCACTAGCATATTTCTCTCCCACATATCTCAAGTTAGATCAAAATTCCAAATCTACATTCCTTAGACTATTGCATCAAAATTTCAAATTTTGTATCACTAATGCTGTGTTTGGTTGGGGGATTTGGAGAGGGATTTGGAAAGGGAAATGGAAAAGGTAGGTGAAATGTGAATAAAACATGCTTATATTTCACCTAGTTTCACACACATTTTCCCTTTCCCTTTCCAAATCCCTTCTCAAATCCCCCAACCAAACACAGCATAAGTCTAACATTCATAACTTCTAACAAACCGTGAAGCTCATGCTAAAAATTTGAAAATTCAATATTCCATACCTACCCATGTCCAAACTGTTACACCAAAAAATACTTACAAAGAAATCTTGTTTAAAAGTGGAATTTTCATGTATCATTGAAAAAGCTCATGATATGAACTAGTTAATCACATGTCAAAACTAAACCATCAATTGGGGATCCATTACCATAACTTCTGAAGAAAAGAAATGTGAATGGTTTCTACAATCCATTACAACAACAATATTTTTTTTTAGGAGGTAATCTTATCCTTGCACCAAATGATAAAGTAATTACTAGACTATTATTGATGGGAAATAACAATGAAACACAAAAGCCATTAATCAAGTTAAATAGAAGCTAAATTGTTTTTACTTTTCCCTTCTTTTTTATACTTACATATAGAAGATAATCACATGCTATCTAGGACGAAATTAATCCACTCGACACGCACTTCACCAAGTTCAGATTCCATATAAGTCTTCTTCCCATTAAACTACAAGAGGTCATTAAGAACCAATTAGTAAATGAAAGGTCATTCGTAAACAATTAGTAAACAACTACTAAAATTGGTCTTACGTTTGTTTTTCTTAGGATGCTTTGATCTCTAATAAGTTTCATGTACCTCATTACATAAAATCCAAATTCCACGCTTGTCAATTGTTGTGAGCACTACATACAAATAATGTGCTTTTTATTAGAAAACTACATATAACAATTATACTCAAGATGAATCATCATTAACATTAAACATATAGTTCAAAAAAAAAAAGGAAAAAAAACTATATTGATTACCTCAACTACTTGCCAAATGGGCTTTCTCTTCATCCCTCTTTAGTTATTCCATAAATCCGAAGACCACTTTATAAAAAGAACAAAGATTAGTACATTATCATTAGAATAGCTCTATTGCTAAGAAATGTACAAAAGTAATAAACTTATATGTTTATTACAATTTTTAAACTTGTGTTGATTTCACCATGATAAAATGAATCAAGATAGTACACTATCATCGATGATAGATCAATGACTAATAATACCCAATGGTACCTAAAATTGAACAAATCACAAATATGAGCTCAACAAGTAATTATTTTTCAAAGACGGGAAATAAATAACACTACGACAATTACCCTCAGGCTTTGCATCATCTAATCTTCTAGCAATCAATGTTGATTTTGAATTTCCACCAGTCTGACATTTCCCACTAACGACATATGGGTTAACAAATGCAAATCTTCTGTCCAAATTCGATGCTTTTAACACTTGATGGAAATGACTAATAAAAGAAGAAATAATTGTCATAAGAAACTTTGTAATCAATAAAAACCTCAGCTTCTTACAAAGCACGTAATAATTTAGTCTTACCTTATGTACAACATGATGCATGTAATGGATAGCTCTTTCATTTGACATATACACTCCATGTCTACTCCTTGAAGTTGTACACTGATCTCCTCCCCAAATATGTCCTTCTCTAGTGGAATGTTAATGGCTTCATCATACTTGAACTGCTCGACCAATGATTCAAAAGCATGGACGGACTCCAATTTTTTTTCAAAATCAACATTTTTTGAATTTCCCTAAATTTAGAAAATTCCCAATGCAAAAATATGTCAATTTCAGTGTTAACAACACAACTAGAAAAGATAGTTGTACCTCATTGCCAACCAATGAAGCAAAAGCTGGAATGCACTCCAAACGTTTTTCACGATCAACATCTTTTAAGGCTCCCTAAATTTGAAATGTTACAATGCAAAATACAGAAGTCAATTTTAGTTGAAGGAAAATGTAGTAACACTTCTAGAAAAGATGTTTGTACCTCATTGTTGACCAATATGAATTTTTTGGGCCAAGCCACCTGACATTCTATTGCCTCTCCAACAATAGTCATCTCTTCTGGGATAGGAATGGGAAGAGGGGCATCTTTAACTATGGCAACATCAACAGACACTCGTACATTGAATTTCTCCAATAGTACCGTATGAATAACTTCTTGAGGTCCAGTTCTTTCATACATCGTACCATGGGCAACAATGTTTTCAAGAGATCCCACCACTAGTTTGCATGGTTTGCTCTATAAGAAATAAAAAATAAATAAATGCTTTTACAACTAAGGATTCAATTCATAATTTACAAAACAATATAACTTAAAATTGAAATAATAACAATATACCTTTCTAATATTTAGCTTGAAAACTAGAGGTTTGATATTCTTCGTAGGATTTGGAGGTCGAATATTCTGCTTAGGATTTGAAGATGACATGTTATTCTTGAAAAGCCGCCTACTTTCCTTTGAGTTCAGAACAAGTTATGGATTGCCTATTTTATTGCTTTTCAAGGTGTTTGAGTTTGCTTCATCAAATTGCGATGTTTGGGTCTTTGTTGTGCCATTGTATTGATTTGAGCTTGCATTTGTAACACGATTGACTCAAAAGATTTCAGCTTCTCTTCAGAAATTGAATGATTTCCACGTCTAGGAATGTGGAAGTACTGTTTGGTGTGAAAAAATTTCCTACACCCCTTACCCGCCCCGAATGTTCAACAATACCCAATGCCGTGGTAAGGATGTCGGTGCTTCCTTGGGTGGACAAACTCCCATCCATTGTTTGTTTGGTCAACTCATCCTATAGTATACCATGATATATAAGAAGAATGAACAATATTGTTTCAATATAAAATCATTATGATAAGTGCACGGAGATTACAATTTTCACAACTTGTTGCATAATTTTCACATCATCATACTCTCCTTTTATTTTGATGAGCCTTCTTCCATAGAACGCTCGTATCCAAATTCTCACTTGATCCAGTCTTTTGTTTCTATCAATCAAACATAAAATTAGAAATAGTCATACCAAATTTTGAATGTATTATTAAATTACAAAATCTACAAATACTTACAAGTTCTTCTTGAAACCGAGCATAGCCCTTTCGACCAAGCCTATGGTTATATATACTTTTTCTTTGCTCGCTTTCTGAATATTACTTTGTACCTTTTAAATTATAACACAAAATTAAATTCAATTGTATAAAATATCCACTAACAAAATAAGTAAATTGTTCTGACATGTACCTCAATTTTTTGTCAGTCTATCCCTCATAAATGAATTCCAATGTCTTTGTTCAATAAAAGGATAAATTTCTGGGGGTATTGAAATGAACTTAGGATTTGACTTGTATTGACGGATGTGCTTGCTAAGGTATTTTTTCAATGTCCTCCATTTCTCTCCAATTGAAGACAAGGTCTTCTTTCTTCTACTTGGATCCACATTGTATGCTGACTGAGCAATTAAGAAATAAAGTTACAAACAAAAAAATTAAGTGCAATTAAAAGTATGTAGACATATGAGGCCTACTTACCTCCACACAACTCCACAATTTCTCTTTCAATTCTTTTGGAACCTTATGCCAATCTTTATAGACTATTGGGACCATTGTTCGAGCCAAAACTCCAAGATAGCTTGGGTATTGTACTTCTCCTATCGGTTGACCAAACTCATTATAGTGAATGATTTTTTGCACACCAGAACTTTCAGCCTTTATGATCCCTGGTAGGGTTGTTGAACCTCTACCTTTCCTTTTTTTTGATTTTATTGGTGACAACCTTGCATCCTCTTCATAAGATGAATCCATGTGTCATGAAATTGGAAGAAAATCACATTAGCACACTATTAGATTATGAAAATAAAGAAAAGAAAACTATTGAATAATGCAAAGCCATCCACAAATATAAATAGAAAAAAGCAACAATCTCGTACATTCTTAGATACAAATAAACAAAAATGAGATTCACTTCATTTTTATCATAAAGACAAATTAGACTTGACTTGTTCCCACTCAAAAGGAACAAGGACCAAAAAGCAATAGAAAAGTAAAAATATATCCACTCAACAATGCATAAGTTCAATTCTTACATCCAACGCTAAAAATAGAAAAATATATTATGTATTATCAACCCAAGTTCCCTTACAGTCTCCTCACATGTAAGGATGATATAGACTCATCAACTTCATCTAATGATTCAACTTCTGGCAATACATTTATTAATCCATGATGCTCTATAGAACAATCATTGAGCTCATCATCCCTTTCACAAGGATATTGTCTTTGAGGAGGTTCCAGCACAATTGACCATCTCAGATCAAGTTGATCTTCTACATAAAAAACTTGTTTCGCCTGGGAAGCCAAAATGAAATAATCAGATTTGTGGCATATCCTTCTAAGCTCAACTAATGTAAAACCAAGTTCATCCACTTTAATTCCCTTCTTGTTGTCAACCAATCACACTTGAATACAAGAATCTTGAACATATGATAATCAAGCTACCATATCTCAACAATAACCCCACAAAAAGTCATTTTTGCGAACACGGGATTCTTATCTTTGTAGATTGAAACTTGCATTGCTATCGCCACTAAACTAACTCCGCTGTTCTGATTGACTCACGAATTATTGCAGTTTTTGTTGTAATAATGACAACTATTAATGACATAGCCATAACATTTTGTAACATCAAAACGAAGTCCTTGTGCCACTTCAAGGTATTTGAGATATTATTCTGGGCATTTAATTCATCTGAAACCTGTTATACGGCTGAACTGTTAGCTATAAGTTTATTAATGACATACAAGAAGTAAAAAATACACATTTAATTGTTTCAATACCTTTTCACGTAGCCAATAAATAAATGTGTTATTGTGTTGCATTTGTAACCATTTCTAACTTTTTGATTGACAAGGATATTCTAGCTTCAAAAAAGCCATATTCTCCCTATCATAAAATTATAGATAAGTAAAATATGATCAGTTAGCAAATACATCACAACTATTGTGAGACAATACAGTTGTCACAAAAATGGAGATGAGTAGCTCTTACTCAATGTAAGGTTGAACAACACTTTGTGTTTTCAAACACATAACAAAGTGCTTGCTCCCATTTTTCACGATCAACAACAACAACAACATGACAACCTGGTAAAGCCCTTCCAATTTTTGTATCATTATCAACTGTCATGTTCCTAGTAGGAGGAATCCCAATTGTATCCACTCCAAATAAGTACTCTACACAAAACTCAACAGCTTCTTCTACAATATAACTTTTAGCAATGCAACCTTATGGAAAATTACGATTACAAACATACCCTTTCAACACATTCATGAGCCTCTCAAATTGGTACATCTAAAGTGAATCAGTCCACAAAGTTTGACTTCTCTAACAAGATGCACTGTCAAATGAACCATGATATGAAAAAATGATGGTGGAAAGAATTTTCAAGTACACATAATGTGATCACAAGATCTTTATGAATTTCATCTAATTTTGGCACATCCACCACTTTGCTTCAAATAGCATTGAAAAAGAAACATAATCTCATAATGGCATATCTCACATGCTTAGGCAACATGGATCGTATTGCCATAGGTAACAATTGTTGCATCAATATATGATAATCATGCGACTTCAAACCATAAAGTTTCAAATCTTGCATTGATACATGACTAATAAAATTTGAAGAGTATACTTCTAGAACCTTGAGTACGAACAATTGTGTACATAAAAGAATGAAAAGAATTATTTGGCTTACCAATCAACGAGGTAGAGACCATGTATATATAATATATTCATGATACAATTTAAGAAACAATATCCACAAGGTAAGATTCCTATAATCAAAATAATTCCTATTCTAATTTCCATATTCAAACACAATATTTTGATTTCTATATTCAACACTCCCCCTCAAGCTAGCGTGAAGATATTCAACAAACGCAGCTTGTCAATGGAAGATTGGAGCAAAGTTGGTCCCCCAGATTTTGTGAACATATCTGCCAACTGCTGAGAAGAAGAGACAAATTATGGACGCACAATGCCAGTCCGAACCTTTTCTCGAATGAAATGTATGTCAACCTCGATGTGCTTGGTATGCTCATGAAGTACAGAATTAGAGGATAATATTATGGCAGATTTGTTATCACAAAATAAAAAGAAAGGAACAGTCTCCTCAAAACCTAATTCTGCCAGAATAGAGCGAATCCAAAAAATCTCACATGTCCCATGTGCCATAGTCCAATACTCAGCCTCTACAGAAGACCTAGAAACCACCGCTTGCTTTTTACTTTTCCATGAAATAAGATGATCACCATAGAAAGTACAGAAGGCAAAAGTGGAATACCGATCAGTCCTAGATCTTGCGTAGTCTGCATCGGTGAAACAGAAGAGCCCAAATTGGAGACCAGCAGTAAAGAACAATCCTAAACTAGGAGAAGTTTTTAAATACCTCGAAATATGATGAACTGCATCAAGGTGCTCTTTACAAGGTGCATGCACTGCAAATGTCAAATCAAGTCTAGCGTTGGTCAAATAAATGAGGTGTCCAATAAGATGCTAGTACATGCCTAGGTCATCCAGCAATTCACCAGACTCTGATGTGAGTTTGACATTAAGATCCATAGGAGTAAAGCAGGTTTACACCCTAACATACCAGTACCCCAAAGCAAGTCAAGGGTGTACTTTCTTTGAGATAAGGAGATACCCTCCCTTGAGCGAGCCACCTCAATTCCCAAAAAATATTTGAGATATCCCAGATCCTTAATATCAAAAGTTTAGCCCAAGTCCTTCTTTACTTGACCAATGCCGACAGAGTCATCACCTGTGAGAATAATATCATCCACATAAACTAACAAGACTATACACTGACCTGCAGAATTCCAATAAAAGAAACAAGTGTGATCGGAGTGGCACTGAACAAAGTCCATAGATATAATAGCAGAACTAAAGCGACCAAACCATGCTCGTGGAGACTATTTCAGACCAAACAAGGATTTGCGTAATCGGCACACTTTCCCCGAATACTCCCCCTCAGCTCGAAAATCGGATGGAGGAGCCATATAAATTGTCTCAAGATCTCCATGGAGAAATGCATTCTTGACATCAAGTTGATCAAGAGACCAAGAATGAGATACTGCAAGGGAGATAAAGAGACGTACAAAAATAAGCTTGGCGACAGGGGCAAAAGTGGCACCAAAATCCTTGTCAAGAATCTGTGTGAAACCTTTGGCCACCAAACGGGCTTTGTAACAGTCAACTGAGCCATCAGTGAGGTACTTTACAGTGAACACCCATTTGCAACCAACTGTGCTTTCCCCAGGAGGTAAAGGTACAAGATCCCAAGTGTGATTCTGTTCTAAGGCCGTCGTCTCAGTCTGTATAGCCGCTACCCATTTGGGATTCTGAAAGGCCTCAGATATAGAACGAGGTATGGACTCCGACTCAAGCTTGCCAAGAAAAGAACGGTAAGGGAAAACCCTGTCATAGGAAAGATACTAGGAAATAGGATGATAAGTACTACTCAAATAACTCAAACGATTTGGAGGATGTCGATCCCGATGTGGGTTACGACGAGAAGGTGGAGGAGAAGCTAAAGGAGAATAGTTACCTGACTTAGAGATCGTAGAGACGGCAAGGGGGGCTAAATGCGTGGGTAACAGGAGTATACTTGCAATGGAAGAGGAAACGAAGGTGGAGAAGAAGGAAAGGGGACAACCTCATTCTCAACCTCGTCTAAAATGATCACCGGGCGAACAATGGAAGTAACAAGAGGAGGAGCCTGCAAAGATGGGTTAGTACTAAAGAAAGGAAGATCCTTACAAAACGTAACATCCAAAGTGTGGTGAAAGTGACGAGGCACAGGGTCATAACACCTATACCTTTTGCACATGGAAGAGTACCCTAAGAAGATACAACGAATAGATTTGTCATCTAACTTTGTGTAAGTGGGACTCCGATTTTGAACAAAACAAGTACACCCAAAGATACGAGGTAAGAATGGAAACATAGTAGTGGTGGGCATAAGGGTATGAAATAGAGTGAGTCCATGCAACACACGATTAGGGGTCCTATTAATGAGGTAAATAGCAGTAAGGACAACCCTATGCCAATAAGACTTGGGAACACCCATACCTCGAAGAAGACACTGGACAACAGACATAATACATGGTTAGCAGAATCCTGATCCAGATCGTAAGATCTTACGATTCTACGATCTCAATTGGGCCAAACGATCCGGATCACACTAGGATCTTAAATTTAGTAGAATCTTAAAGTCACTGCGATCCTAGTCATAAAATGATGTAGAATCGTATACGATCCTAATTCTACTTTGATCCCAATCCTACCAATTTTTTTTGTTACTATTTATTTCTTATATATATGTGTATATCTATATAAAAAATTTGACTATAAACTCATTTTTCAAACGTCTTTAATTTATGTTAACATAGAATATACATTATATCAAATTTATTTATTTTCTTTTATCTTTTTAAAATTATGTAACAAAGTTTATCAATTATCGATAATTTTTCATTTTATTTTGCATTAAAAGTAGGATTTTACGATTCTCGATCCAATTCTACGATTGGATCCATTAGTCCCTCCCAACGATCCTACCTGGGATCCCAATTTTAACAACCTTGACATAATATGATGGTTTTTTGCGTTCAGCAACACCATTTTGTTCAGGAGTCTGAGGACAAGTAAGTTGTTGAAAAATACCGAGAAATTCATTAGAAATATATTCCCTACCATTATCAGAATGGATAGTCCTAACAACTGAATGAAACTGAGTTTTAACC